ATGTGAGTAAGACTTTTAAGCAGGTCAACATTCACAAGGCCGCAGGGCCAGACGGATTACCAGGACGTGTACTCCGAGCATGTGCTGACCAACTGACAAGTGTCTTCACTGACATTTTCAACATGTCCCTGACTGAGTCTGTAATACCAACATGTTTCAAGCAGACCACCATAGTCCCCGTGCCCAAGGACTCTAAGATAACCTGCCTAAATGACTACCGACCCGTAGCACTGACGTCTGTAGCCATGAAGTGCTTTGAAAGGCTGGTCATGGCTCACATCAACACCATTATCCCAGAAACCCTAGACCCACTCCAATTTGCATACCGCCCCAACAGATCCACAGATGATGCAATCTCTATTGCACTCCACACTGCCCTTTCCCACCTGGACAAGAGGAACACCTACGTGAGAATGCTATTCATTGACTACAGCTCAGCATTCAACACCATAGTGCCCTCAATGCTCATCACTAAGCTAAGGCTCCTGGGATTAAACACCTCCCTCTGCAACTGGATCCTGGACTTCCTGACGGGCCGCCCCCAAGTGTTAAGGGTAGGTAACAACACATCTGCCACACTGATCCTCAACACGGGGGGCCCTCAGGCGTGCGTGCTCAGTCCCCTCCTGTACTCCCTGTTCACCCATGACTGCATGGCCAGGCACGACTCCAACACCATCATTAAGTTTGCCGACGACACAACAGTGGTAGGCCTGATCACCGACAACGATGAGACAGCCTATAGGGAGGAGGTCAGAGACCTGGCCGTGTGGTGCCAGGACAACAACCTCTCCCTCAACGTGACCAAGACAAAGGAGATGATTGTGGACTACAGGAAAAAAAAGAGGACTGAGCACGCCCCCATTCTCATCGACGGGGCTGTAGTGGAACAGGTTGAGAGCTTCAAGTTCCTTGGTGTCCACATCACCAACGAACTATCATGGTCCAAACACACCAAGACAGTCATGAAGAGGGCACGACAAAGCCTATTCCCCCTCAGGAGACTGAAAAGATTTGGCATGGGTCCTCAGATCCTCAAAAGATTCTACAGCTTCACCATCGAGAGCATCCTGACTGGTTGCATCACCGCCTGGTATGGCAACTGCTTGGCCTCCGACCGCAAGGCACTACAGAGGGTAGTGCGTACGGCCCAGTACATCACTGGGGCCAAGCTTCCTGCCATCCAGGACCTCTATAGGTGTCAGAGGAAAGCCCTCAAAATTGTCAAAGACTCCAGCCACCCTAGTCATAGACTGTTCTCTCTGCTACCGCACGGCAAGCGGTACCGGAGTGCCAAGTCTAGGTCCAAAAGACTTCTCAACAGCTTCTACCCCCAAGCCATAAGACTCCTGAACAGCTAATCATGGCTACCCGGACTATTTGCACTGCCCCCCCACCCCATCCTTTTACGCTGCTGCTACTCTGTTAATTATTTATGCATAGTCACTTTAACTCTGCCCACATGTACATATTACTTCAACTACCTCACTAGCCGGTGCCCCCGCACATTGACTCAGCACCGGTACCCCCCTGTATATATAGCCTCCCTACTGTTATTTTATTTTACTTCTGCTCTTTTTTTCTCAACACTTTTTTTGTTGTTGTTTTATTTTTACTTTTTTGTTAAAAATAAATGCACTGTTGGTTAAGGGCTGTAAGTAAGCATTTCACTGTAATGTCTGCACCTGTTGTATTCGGCGCATGTGGCCAATAAAATTTGATTTGATTTTGATTTGATTTGATTTGACTAAATACTTTTTTGCCCCACTGTACATATTACCTAAATTACCTCGACTAACCTGTGCTCCCGCACATTGACTCTGTACCGGTACCCCCTGTATATAGCCTCACTACTGTTATTTTACTGCTGCTCTTTAATTATTTTAAATGTTTCTATTTTTCTTCTTTTTTTAATTTTTACTTATCTCTTTTTTACTCAACACTTATTTTTCTTAAAACTGCATTGTTGGTTAAGGGCTTATAAGTAAGCATTTCACTGTAAGGTCTACACCTGTTGTATTCGGCACATGTGACAAATACAATTTGATTTGATTTGTAATGCCACTGCAGAAAAATCCCTGAGTCCCAAAAAACGCTAAGCCACACTCACATTGATGCCTGTTTTCTCAGATTTCTTCTCCGTTTGCACTGTGCAGTTGATAACCAAAGTAATAAATGCTACAAAGTCCATCTTCTTAACATGCAACATGTCAGGAGCCCTCTGTTGACAATGAATATCATTTTGTGCTACTCCTGCTACCATTACTTCTTCAACTTCACTCCTTTCTTACACTGTTCTCAACGCTTCCGGATAGGAGACATTCTGGACAGCCCTTATTCTTGCCACCTCCGTCTCCTTCACCCTAACAGGACACTTCAGAAATTCAGGGGCATGTTCACCCCCACAATTGCAGCATTTAGACTCAGTTGGCATATTTTTACATTTTACATTTTAGTCATTTAGCAGATGCTCTTATCCAGAGCGACTTACAGTTAATGCATTCATCTTAAGATAGCTACGGGGGACAACCACATATCACAGGCATAGAAAGTACATTTTTCCTCAATAACGTTTATTTTATTTATATATATACATTTTTTTTTTGGGGGGGGGGGGGTCGAGGTGAGGAGGAGGATTATTTAAGATACTGTTTGAAGTTCCGATTATTTGGAAAGATGGGCATGGACTCTGCTGTCCTAGCTTCAGGGGCAAGCTGGTTCCACCATTGGGGTGCCAGGACAGAGAAGAGCTTAGACTGGGCTGAGTGGGAGCTGCCCTCCCGTAGCGGTGGGAGGGCCAAGAGGCTTGAGGTGGCAGAATGGAGCGCTCGGGTTGGGGTGTAGGGTTTGAGCATAGCCTGAAGGTAGGGACGGGCAGTTCCTCTTGCTGTTCCGTAGGGAAGCACCATGGTCTTGTAGTGGATACGAGCTTCAACTGGAAGCCAGTGGAGTGTGCGGAGGAGCGTGGTGACATGAGAGAACTTGAGAAGGTTGAAAACCAGACGGGCTGCTGCTTTCTGGATAAATTGCAGGGGTTTGATGGCACAAGCGGGGAGCCCAGCCAACAGCGAGTTGCAGGAGTCTAGACAGGAGAGGACAAGTGCCTGGAGGAGCATATAATACTCCTCCCATCTACATACACCTGACACATTACCAAATTATTTACATTTCTCACACTGTATGGGTTTGGGCATGAAGGCTCTCACAGGGAATCTCATATAACCCAAATACACGTGAGAAGGGAGAGACTCTTGATCAAAAAACAATAGAATGGATGGAGTGGGCTTGCGCACTACCATGCGGGTCAGTCATTGTGCACCAACCACTTGATCCAATTCTTCACATATATCCTTTGCACATTTACTTCTAGTGCCACCCCAGAGATAACACCCTTGATAGGCGCCCTGCTTTGAAGATCCACACAAGACACATTCCAACTCGACATCTTCTTGAGGCACAGAGCACGCTCCTTCAGTTCCATAGAAACACAAAAAAACTAAATAAGCCCACTTCTCGTTATTCACATCGACGCCACCTCATCCAACGCATCCACCATTTTAATAGAGACTTCAAACGGATCTCCCAGGTAACAACATCAATCCAAAACCCTTATTCCAACCAAAGAAAAATCAGAACTAGGTTTGGATTTACTAGTTTCCACTACCACTTTAATTCTCTTATTTCCTTACACATTCGCCACAATACTCCAATTGTTCTCACTCTCATCTCCACTCGACACGCCATCTGATTCAAACAGAACATCCGCTTCCGCCATTTCAGCGTCTTCTTCCCTATATTCTACCTGTTGCGTGTTAGCCCCCCCCCCCCCCCGTAAAAAAAGCCACTCTTCATAGGATGTTTGTTTAATAGATGTGTATCAATATACTCCCGCCTCCAGTAGTTGATCTTGAAGTGTTGGATAGACTACAGAAAGATAGGGAGAGTGTAGATCCATCTGATTTGTTTAAGAGACGTCTGGATACTGTGTATCAGGATTTTGTGGCCATTTACACAGATGGTTCAAAAGATCCAAGGAGAGGACGTACTGGGTCAGCATTTGTAGTGCAGGAATGTGGAGTGGAAGTCAGGAAACGTATTACAGATCATCAGGCTGTATATACAGCAGAGCTGATGGCCATACTGTTGGCCTTGCAGTGGGTGGAGGAAGTTAAGCCAGACAGAGTAGTTATTTGCTCTGATTCATGTGCAGTGTTAATGAGTCTCCAGTCGCAGACAAGACCTGCTTTATGAGGTGCTACAAACCCATGGCAGGATTTGACAGATGGGTATACAGATAAGATTTACTTGGGTCCCTGCCCATGTGGGGGTGGAGGGGAACGAGGCAGTTGATGTACTGGCTAAACAAGCACTTAGTAGTGGGGATGTTGATGTCGTAGTTTCAATGAGCAAGGCAGAGGGAAAAAGCCTGATATGGACAGTGATGGTGCAGAGATGGAAGGAGCAGTGGAATAGCGATACTAAGGGCAGGCATTTATTTCAAGTACAGAGGAAAGTCGGGGAGGGGAGGATGGCAGGAAGGAACAGAAGAGAGGAGGCTATTTTTACAAGATTAAGGGTGGGACAGCCAGTTGAATAAGACCTTAAATGTGATAGGAAAGCACCAGCACGAAAGTGTGATTATTGCCAGGAAACAGATACTGTGGAGTATGTATTGCTACAGTGTGGGCAGTATCAGAGGGAAAGAGAGAGGATGAGATCTAGTTTGAGGGAGAAGGGGATACAGGAAATTAGTTTAAAGAGTATACTGAGTAGAATGTCTCAAATATTTGTTATATATTTTGTTATATTTTGTTATATTTTTTAAGAGCAACGGGGCTGGCAGGTAAGATTTAGTTCATTCCTGTCGCTGGCCCACACTCCAGTACAGTAGGTGGCGGTAGGTGGCGGTAATGTACCATAATGTTGGATTCCAACCGCCGATAAACCCCACTGAAGAAGAAGAAGCTGCGTATCAATAAAGTTTTACAATATCAATTCTCGTCTTCATCTTTTTTTCATCTCGCGATGTTTCCCCACTCGTTGTCCTTCATGTGAAATCAAAAATGGGTTATTGGGATCTGCAAGAGGGTAAGGATTGTGTCGAGAAAACATGGATCACCACCAAATTGGGCACAGCTCTAGGTAAGTCTTACACAAATGAAAACATTATGGAAGTTAGCTAGCTAACTGTTGGTAAAGAGCAGTAAAGCTAACTAGCCATAACATAGTTAGCTGCCAATGCCATGCTAGCTACTGCTAACTTATTAGCAAGCAATGTGTTGTTTTCAACTAATTTAACGTCAGTTAACGGTTAGCCAGTTGTTTAGCAAGCAGCTGTTGTAAGACATTTGTTTACCAGTTAGCTAGCAAGCTAATCATAGCTAACATTGTTGTGACTAAATACTTGGCAAGTAAGTAAGTAAGTAGCTAGCTAGTCAACTGTGTGCACAGTAGTCTTAACATCCTCTTTATTTTACACACAGGGTTGGTGGGTTCAGCCTATCACATTGTTGCATTCCAGCCTGATTCTGCAATCCAAGCTGTTCAGAGAGCCACAAATGTCACAGTAACCATGGGTATGTCTGTCTCACACACAGCAGTAATAATAATAACCTGTCTTACTGCCATGAAGATATCAAGCTTACACCTGAAATCGGAATACACAGCTACCCCTCCTAGATCAGTAGCCAATAGTGTTCAGGCTAGAAGGTTATCTCAGATTGTTACATGACATTTATGTCATGAGGATTAGTCCAGGGCCCATATCAACAAAGCATCTCAGAGTAGGAGTTCTGATCTAGAATCTGACCATATAATCTTAATCAGTATGATCTAGAAGGCAACACTGATCCTATATCAGCACTCCTACTCTGAGACACTGTGGATATGGGCCCAGGTACCCCCCTGTCCATGTAGTCTTATACATTGTGATCTCAAAAGCAAAACTGATCCTAGATCAGCGATCCTACTATGAGAGGCATTGTGGATACGGGCCCAGGTCACAATGCTGCAATTCACCTAATAATGCACCTGAGTCTATATAGTTTCCTCGTGTGAGTGATGGTGAAAGTGTGCTGTTTGATGTTAAAGGGTTTCAGTGGTGATAAGAAACATTTATCTGTGATTAGATGTTTGTTATAAGGACTTGTAAACAACATACAGTTAAGGTGGGTTTATGCTAGTCTGGGTACCAGTCTTTTTAGCTAACATTCCACTCCTGTCATTTGCCAAAGAGACTGGCCTTTTGGCAATCTCAATGTTCAATATGCAGCTGGATTTACGGCGCAGTTGCTGATTGGTAGTTGGAAACCACATACAATTTTACCATGACAACGTTATGGAACATGGGCGGTGAGTACAATTATAACATTTTAAGAACAACAATAAACAATACCATTATGACCTGCTGCAGTCATTCCCTTGTGAGGAGGCAGTGTCAATACAAGATCATGTTGTTCAAAGTGGCTAGAGAGGACTCCGAATGAGTGAGAGAAATGATACAGAACATTTTAGGCTACAAGATTAAATCGAGATACGTTTGCTTCAGTTGCATCCCATTAATGAGAGGAAAGAAAAGCAAAACTTGCACCTGTTATCATTCCTCGCACATATGCTGATCATCATGACTTGCTTACATCTTTAAAATGTTGTTATAGGCCTACTCATTTCAGTTATATTATTTGTCCCTCCTCTCTTATTAAGCGATGGAGTCTAGACAGGCTGCTTTAGGAAACTTTCTGAATGGACATCTCAAACATCTGACACAGAAATCACATTTCTCCTTTCCTAAAAAAGTATTCAAAACCAATGCTCGCCTATAAATCTTGGCTGTAGTAGGCCTAGGCTACATTATAGCAATAAGTTGTTTTGTTTAGTCATACATGTGGTATACGGTCTGATATACCACGGCTGTCAGCCAATCAGCATTCAGGGCTCAAACCACCCAGTTTATAATATATCATAATGTAGCCTATCAAATTAATTGACAGGGAAAGTTTGAAGGGGAGAGACGGCTATAGTATTACTAGAGACGTTGGTTATGTAATTATCCCAGCATGTGGGTTATTGCAGAGGAAGATAAGCACGGGATTAGTTTTTCCAAAGTTCCCCATGTAATTCTTACTTTTTTTTCCATTCAATTGAGTCTATGACGGAAGCCTGGTGGTTTTTATTCTAGGCGTGAAGATATTTCAACATGTTTAGACGATAATAGGCTACACTGATCACTCGTGTTTGGCTGCCTAATGTATAGGTGTCCATGTCCCCATAGGCCTAATATTTAAATAGAGGAAATGTGATCATAGTCATTATTTTAGTGATACATGGTAGTCGTCCTCCCGATGTGAGCTGCTGGACAGCGCACTTGCACTTGATATGCGTTTTATGGATGAGAAAGTGAACTTGCCATTTCCAAAAAGGAGTGGGGGCATCGGGGATTCCCTGCTTTGCGATCTGTTGCCTACGTCAACAGCCAGGGTTTCATTAAATAGGCCTAGGCACTATACTTAAAAGAATAATCACATTGAATTAAGCTGACACATTTGGCAATGTTCAACTTAAATTCATTTGCACAAAATGTTTCAGACAAAAATAAAACATTTTGTCTTGCTTGCACAGCACAGGTGGTGGTCGCCTAAATTCACTGTAGTAGGCTAGGCCTAATACAGTGCCTTCAGGAAGTATTCACACCCCTTTTTCAACATTTTGTTGTGTTACAGCCTAATTAATTAAAAATGAAAAGCTAAAATGGCTTGAGTCAATAAGTATCCTATCCTTTTGTTATGGCAAGCCTTAATAAGTTCACAAGTAAGAATGTGCTTAACAAGTAACATAAATTGCATGGACTCACTCTGTGTGGAATAATAGTGTTTAAAATGATTTTCTAAAACTACTACCCCATCTCCATACCACACACATACAATTATCTGTAAGGGCCAGTGAATTTCAAGCATAGATTCAACCACAAAGACCAGGGAGGTTTTCCTATGGTTTGCAAAGAAGGGTACCTATTGGTAGACATTGAATATCCTTTTGAGCATGGTTAATTTATTAATTTTACACTTTGGATGGTGTATCAATACACCCAGTCACTACAAAGATACAGGCACCCTTCCTAAATCAGTTGCCGGAGAGGAAGGAAACCGCTTGGCGATTAAACCATGAGGCCAATAGTGATTTTAAGACAGTTACAGAGTTAATGGCTGTGATAGAAAATAACTGAGGATATATCAACAACATTGTAGTTACTCTACAATACTAACATAAATGACAGTGAAAAGAAGAAAGTACAGAATACAAATATTCCAAAACATGTATCCTGTTTGCAATAAGGCACTAAAGTAATACTGCAAAAGATGTGGCAAAGAAATTAACTTTTTGTCCTGAATACAAAGTGTTATGTTTGGGGCAAAATCCAACACATCACTGAGTACCACTCTTCATATTTTCAAGAATGGTGGCTGCATCATGTTATGGGTATGCTTGTCATTGGCAAGAACTAGGGAGTTTTTTGGGGGATAAAACGGAATGGAGCTAAATTCCTAGAGGAAAACCTGGCTCAGTCTGCTTTCCAACAGACACTGGGAGACAAATTCAGCAGGACAATAACCTAAAACACAAGGCCAAATATACACTGGAGTTGCTTACCAAGACAACATTGACTGTTCCTGATTAGCCTAGTTACAGTTTTGACTTAAATCAGCATGAAAATCTGTTGCAAGACTTGAAAATGGCTGTCTAGCAATGATCAACAACCAACTTGACAAAGCTTGACCATAAAAAAAAAAAAGAATAATGGGTCAATATTGTACAATCCAGGTGTGCAAATCTCTTAGATTTACCCAGAATGACTCACAAATGTAATTGCTGCCAAAGTATTGACTTGGGGGGGGGGGGGGTGAATACTTATCTAATCAATATATATTAGTGTTTTATAATCCCACTTTGTAACACAACAGCATACAAATGGTGGATTAATAGCCCAGGCTATGAATTAACTTCTAATTTACACATCTGTTTTCACTGTTCCCTTCTTGCACAATTCATGCATCTCCAATGGCCTCTCTCTCTTCATTCTTCTCTATTTTCCTCTTATAGCTTTTGAACCAGTAGCCTAGCACAATTATTTATATATTCGAGGTGGTGGTAAAAATGCAATAAACGGGAATCCTCTGTTCTTCCCGTGCCCTGTGTTTACAATGAAATGTATTACGTCAGAATGCCCAATGTTAGGTTTCCATTCAAATTTATAGATTAATTTGGAACATTTTCTTATCAGTCTAATTTCCATAAACATTGGATGATAACTGTGAGGGTTATCGAAAAGAGACGACATCTGGGCAAGGTTTATGCCAGTGTAAGTTCATTTAATTTGTTTTGTCCTTCCTTCCTTAACAGCTGCCTTGGGGGCGATTTTTGGAATGACCACTTGTCTAGCTGCACAGGCCCGGGATGCACCTGATGACCCGGTGAACTACTTCATCGGAGGCTGTGCATCAGGAGTCTTTCTTGGAGCTCGTAGTGAGTAGGCTATATATTGCACAGTATGCTGAAGATCTGGGTTGCATTCAGTAGGAACAAACGGGGGCAAATGTTTTGAAACAAGGAAAATTTGTATTCTCATTGGGAAAGTCAATTTCAAAGCATTTTCTTCCAACGTTTCATTCCAAAAAGCAGTCTTTTCCCTTCAGCGCTTTTTAACTTCCTTATACATATCTAAGATGACTGGTTGCATAAGCAAATAGCTCCACATAGTTACCATCATATTGCTGTCATCTTTTAATCTCTAAGATCTTTGTAGGGCAGTGAACTTCTTCTCATCGCTAGATGTTTGCTAGAGATACAGAGGGGCATCACAGAGAATATCCTATCTCTCCATATCTTTTCCACAAATAATATGTATTTTGTGTCTCTTTGATCCACAGCTCACAGTGCAATGACAGGCACGACAGCATGTATTGGGCTGGGGACACTGGCCATGTTCACCAAGGTGGGCAAGATGGAGGGCTGGAAATTAGCGGGACCACCGAGGATGTAAACAGCCTGAGGGGGAGACTATATATTGACATGTATATTGTATATTGAATATTCCTTGAATAAACTTGTGTAAAAGAGTGTAGGTCTATTAGTCTGTATCCTGCACCTCCTTGTTTTAGCCACAGGGTGGAGACATTGGCTAACATCCCAGCCAATTTGCACCAATCAACTCCAATTTGCAATGGCCTCTTAATCAGCCATTTAGATCAAAGTTAATCTGAGAATGAGATCAGAAGTCATTAGCCTCCCAAACAAACAAATAAAGTACCACAGTATGAGTCATAATACCCATAAAACCTATTGGTCAAACAAGGAAATGGTTCCAATTGTTTTTCCACCATTAATTTTTCCCATATGAGATTTCAGAAACACTTAAAATAAGGGCTGTGTTTCGTGTAGGCTTACCCTGGCGTGATGTTTTGATAACCGTGTAAATCGCTCTAGGACAAGGTGACTTCTATCAATATATTCGCCTGTATTTACCGCCCAAAATAAAATGCTAATTAGCTGCTAATGTGGCTATCAAATGCCATGGTGAGCTGGACAAGACTGTCGAATCTGAGAGGAAATGGAGCCAAATATATTGATCAAAGTCACAATGTCCGAGAGATTTACATGGTTATCAAAATGTCACACCAGGGTAAGCCTACATGAAACACAGCCCTTATTTTAAGTGTTTTAAAAATTCCCAATGAGAAAAATGAATGATGGAAAAATGATTGGCACTGTTTGACCACTAGACTTTATGGGTATTGTGGGGCTCTATTGTAAAACATTTATTGCTCTTGGACACTGCTAAATTGGTGAATAACTGGTTGAGCAAATTCATTTTTAACTCATTCCTACACTGGTTGCCAACATCAGTGCAAAATAATGTATTGGGGAAATGTGGTGCAATTAATGTGATTGCCTAAAATGTATGAGAAAAATAATGTTTTTTTTTTTCTCCACTCTTTTAACACTAGATTGGGCAGGGTAACCATTCTGGACACCTCAAATATAGACCTCATCAGGGTTGTTATTTTGCATCTGGATATCGAGACTCTAGGTCAATCGTCCATGGCGGTTTTAATTTTCACAATGTGTAAAATAAACAATAGTACGCAAGTATAAACACCATGGGACCACGCAGCCGTCATACAGCTCAGGAAGGAGACGCGTTCTGTCTCCTAGAGATGAACGTACTTTGGTGCGAAAAGTGCAAATCAATCCCAGAACAGCAAAGGACCTTGTGAAGATGCTGGAGGAAACAGGTACAAAAGTATCTATATCCACAGTAAAACGAGTCCTATATCGACATAACCTGAAAGGCCGCTCAGCAAGGAAGAAGCCACTGCTCCAAAACCGCCATAAAAAGCCAGACTACGGTTTGCAACTGCACATGGGGACAAAGATCGTACTTTTTGGAGAAAATTCCTCTGGTCTGATGAAACAAAAATAAACTGTTTGGCCATAAATAATAATAATAATATGCCATTTAGCAGACGCTTTTAACCAAAGCGACTTACAGTCGTGCGTGCATACATTTTTGTGTATGGGTGGTCCCGGGGATCGAACCCACTACCTTGGCGTTACAAGCGCCGTGCTCTACCAGCTGAGCTACAGAGGACCCCATAATGACCATCGTTATGTTTGGAGGAAAACATCTCAAGACATTAGTCAGGAAGTTAAAGCTTGGTCGCAAATGGGTCTTCCAAATGGACAATGACCCCAAGCATACTTCCAAAGTTGTGGCAAAATGGCATAAGGACAACAAAGTCAAGGTATTGGAGTGGCCATCACAAAGCCCTGACCTCAATCCTATAGAAAATGTGTGGGCAGAACTGAAAAAGCGTGTGCGAGCAAGGAGGCCTACAAACCTGACTCAGTTACACCAGCTCTGTCAGGAGGAATGGGCCAAAATTCACCCAACTTATTGTGGGAAGCTTGTGGAAGTCTACCCAAAACATTTGACCCAAGTTAAACAATTTAAAGGCAATGCTACCAAATACTAATTGAGTGTATGTAAACTTCTGACCCACTGGGAATGTGATGAAAGAAAGAAAAGCTGAAATAAATCATTCTCTACTATTATTCTGACATTTCACATTATTAAAATAAAGTGGTGATCCTAACTGACCTAAGACAGGGCATCTTTACTAGGATTAAATGTCAGGAATTGTGAAAAACTGAGTTTAAATGTATTTGGCTAAGGTGTATGTAAACTTCCAACTTCAACTGTATTATGTGATATAGATTCAGTATGGATGTAGGGGCTACAAGCCGGTCTCTTATTCTATTGGTGAAGGTTCATCTAAACGAAGTACATCTGTGTCAGTGGAGATTGCTGAGGGGAGGACAGCTCATAATAATGGCTGGAACGGCGCGTATGGAATGGCATCAAACACATGGAAACAATGTTTGATGTATTTGATACCATTCCGCTCCAGCCATAACCATGAGCCTGTCCTCCCCAATTAAGGTGCCACCAACCTCCTGTGATCTGTGTCCCTTATGTTCTACAACCTTTGTTTTACAATGTATAGCAATTATACTATAAGGGTATTAGATGACACCAGATTTATATGCTTGGTTTTAACAGTAGTAATATACATTTTACTTTCTATCCCACTTTGCTTTCATTTAATTGAATGAAGGATGTTTGGCCTCCGGAAACATTTTATGTTTCTTTCAAAAGGCTCACCTGATTTATTCATTGAACAGGATTTTGAGGGGAAGCATTTGTAAATCATATACAGTTATTTTGAGAGAATCCAACCAGGATTGACAGAGTAGTGTGTGTGTGTGTGTGTCAAGATGGAATGTGACCTTCCGCATCCTGCCATTCCCAGTCTGTGAGTCAGCTGTGACTCAGTGGTAGACCATCACCACTCAATAGGGCCGCCCTAAATCCCCTCATCATACCTAGGTTGTGTTATAATACTTTGACCTGGTTCTGACGTTTTCCCACTACTCTTGAGTAATCACTGATCTGACTTGGCTGGGATGGTTTAAGCTATGTAGTGGAATCCTTTCCGCTTCACCTACCTGACTGGGTCCGCTTGATCAGTTAGTAGTTTAGTCTTATGCTGGACCTTTCTCTCCATCCATCAATGCTTGGAAGTCAACTTCCTGTGACAGTCCCTGGAAAGGATCCCTGTGATCAATCTGTTATTTCTCCTTTGGCCCAAACATTTTCATTAACACAATGCAATCATATGTGTAAACAATTCATGGCTTCAAGGTTTACATCTTTGGGTAGCCTAATTATTTACAGCGATGTGAAGTATCTTGCCTGTTGATCTGCATTGTTTATAAGGCAGGTTTTCCCTCAATCAATCAATCAATTTTATTTTATATAGCCCTTCTTACATCAGCTAATATCTCGAAGTGCTGTACAGAAACCCAGCCTAAAACCCCAAACAGCTAGTAATGCAGGTGTAGAAGCACGGTGGCTAGGAAAAACTCCCTAGAAAGGCAAAACCTAGGAAGAAACCTAGAGAGGAACCAGGCTATGAGGGGTGGCCAGTCCTCTTCTGGCTGTGCCGGGTGGAGATTATAACAGAACCATGCCAAGATGTTCAAAAATGTTCATAAGTGACAAGCATGGTCAAATAATAATCAGGAATAAATCTCAGTTGGCTTTTCATAGCCGATCATTAAGAGTTGAAAACAGCAGGTCTGGGACAGGTAGGGGTTCCATAACCGCAGGCAGAACAGTTGAAACTGGAATAGCAGCAAGGCCAGGCGGACTGGGGACAGCAAGGAGTCACCACGGCCGGTAGTCCCGGCGTATGGTCCTAGGGCTCAGGTCTCTCAGTTGGCTTTTCATAGCCGATCATTAAGAGTTGAAAACAGCAGGTCTGGGACAGGTAGGGGTTTCGTAGCCGCAGGCAGAACAGTTGAAACTGGAATAGCAGCAAGGCCAGGCGGACTGGGGACAGCAAGGTGTCATCATGCCCGGTAGTCCTGACGTATGGTCCTAGGGCTCAGGTTCTCAGAGAGAAAGAGAGAACGAGAGAATTAGAGAGAGCATACTTAAATTCACACAGGACACTGGATAAGACAGGAGAAGTACTCCAGGTATAACCAACTAACCCCAGCCCCCCGACACATAAACTACTGCAGCATAAATACTGGAGGCTGAGACAGGAGCGGTCCGGAGACACTGTGGCCCCATCCGAAGAAACCCCCGGACAGGGCCAAACAGGAAGGATATAACCCCACCCACTCCGCCAAAGCACAGCCCCCGCACCACTAGAGGGATATCCCCAACCACCAACTTACAATCCTGAGACAAGGCCGAGTATAGCCCACAGAGGTCTCCACCACAGCACAAACCAAGGGGGGGGCGCCAACCCAGACAGGAAGATCACGTCAGTAACTCAACCCACTCAAGTGACGCACCCCTCCCAGCCTGATTCAACCCTCAGTGGCTGAATCAGGCTGAGCATTCAGTCAGGGGTGGTCTGGCTTTGGCAGTGGGACGGTGGAGGGAGGGCAGCAGAGGGGCTTTAAAGGGGATCAAGCGCTTTCAGAATGCCCAATTACACATCACGTTTGGCAGCCATTTCCCTAGCGTTGAAGGAAAATTAAAGCCTTGCACCTTACTATTGGCATGTTGGAGAAGGCCTTCATGGTGTTCAACCTTTATTGATGTAGCCTGTAAGTAAAGGAGCCTCCCACCAAACTGTATTTACAGGCAATTACTATAAGTAATATGGTTCAGCACATAAGCACAGTGAATGACATGCAAAAACCAGCTGCATCTTGTTTGTTTTCTGAGGTAACCTCCTGACAGGAAAGACAATAGAGGATGATGGAGGAATTTGGAAGAAGATTGAGTGAACATTTGGCTTTAATCTCAGACATTATGGAGGTAGTATGTGTGTGTGAGAGACAGACAGACCGAGAGAGAGGGCCCAAGGAAAACCTGGATGCATAACTGGAATTGTTTAGAAGACACAACAATGATGGAGCACTTGATTTTGCCCAAATTTGCTGCAAGCAGGTTGTCCATCAGTAGTGCTCAGAGAGTTGCGATAGGCAGAGGTGAGTAGAGCAATAATCCACCCGGTTACTGGTACAGTAGGACAGTTGTTG